AAGCGGAGCTTAGCATGGTTCGGGCTGCCTCACATAAGGAACGGTTTCGTCTCTCAACAATTCCATTCTGTTGTGGTGTATAGGGGGCCGAGAAGTTGTGAGATATCCCCTTTTCAGCCAGAAAATCTTCAAAATCTTTATTCTTGAATTCAAGCCCATTGTCGCTTCTAATATTCCTCACCAGCTTTCGCAGCTGCAGTTCCACTTGCTTGATAAACGCCTTCAACTTGGGAGTCGCTTCTGATTTCTGTTTAAGAAAGAAAACCCAGGTGAAGCGTGAAAAATCATCTACTATGACAAGAATGAACTTACTACCACCGATGCTTTCGATAGCCGAAGGTCCACATAAGTCGATATGAAGAAGTTCAAGAGCTTTAACAATCTTTTTATTGATACGTGTGGGATGGCTCTTTCTGCTTTGTTTGCCCATCTCACACGCTGCACACAGGTGTTCCTTATCAAACTTGAGAAGAGGAAGGCCTCGAACATGATCACCAAGCACCAACTTATTAATGTCTTTGAAGTTCAGGTGCGATAGGCGTCGATGCCATAACCAGCTTTCATCAGAGTTCGCCTTTGACAGCAGGCATATTGCTGGTTTTCCTCGAATTGGGTTGAGATTTAAAGGATACATCTCTCCCTTGCGTTCAGACTTCAACAGAACTCTTTTGGATTGCTTTTCAATAATTTCTGATCCCTCATCATCGAATGAAACTTTCAAACCAGTTCCCACAACCAATTGCGATACACTGATGAGGTTGTGCTGCAATCCTTCCACGTACGCCACTTTTTGAATTGTGAATTCTCCGTTGGTTATCATTCCATATCCTCTGATTGTGCCAAAAGAATTGTTTCCATACTTCACACATCCACCATCCTTAAGGGACCGAAACTCCCTTAGCTCTTCCCTCCTTCCTGTCATGTGACGAGAGCAGCCACTGTCAATGTACCATTCGTCATCGAACTGCTCGTCACTTATAACCTGCAAATTCAAGCAGATTTAGGAACCCAAAGTCTCTTGGGCCCTGGTGAGTCTTTTACAGAAACAGGAATAGCAACAGAAAGATCAACCAAATAAGTTCTTTTTATTAGAGTGGTTTCGTCTTTTTTTTTATGGTATACACCTTGATTTTGTTTTTATCTTGTTTAAATTGTGGTGTATCAGATGGTGTGTTGTTAGATGGTTTTGGAATCTTCTTTTGAATCCTAGGGTTAGCTGACTTTTTCTTATTATTGATATCAGAATTCGAATCAAGCTTTCCCTTTCCTTTGATGTCCTTCATTAAATTCGGCTTTTGTTGGTAGCAGGAAGGACCGAAGCTTGACTTTCGGTTGTTAGCCTTGATGTTGTGACCAAAACTGGATGTTTGGTTCTGAGATCTGGTATTGTAACTGAAACTGGTGTTGGAACCGAAACTGGATGTTCGGGGTCTGAGCTTTGGTGTTGGAACCGAAACTGGAGGTTCGGTTCTGAGCTTTGGAATAATAGGAGCTTGGACTAAAACTTTCCTTTCGGTTTGGCTTGTCATTTTCTTTGACGTTTAACTCTTTCTTGGAAGGAACGTAGTTAGGGTTTTGAGACTTCCAAAACCGTTTTCGCTCATTCAGATTCTTCATGTATCTCTGATTTCTTTGGCGTTTCTGTTCAGCCAGCTGTTTTTGAGATTTATGAATATTGAAGCTTGATTTTGGCTTCTCCTTTTGAGTTTCGGTTGTCTTGGAAGATACATTGGATACTTTCTTTGGTTCTTCTGGTATCTCTTTTGTTCCACTCATGCTTGGTTTATCAAAACTTGAGGTCTTGTTGATGGGTTCCGCAACGTATCTACCTTTTACCCTCCACGAGGTTCGCTCCGATAAGCCGATGGTTTCATCAGCATTATCGATAGGGGCAGACCAGAAGTAATCATCGCATCCTTCAGCATTGTCTGTGTCGACCAAGATTTTCAATTCTGCTGTTTGTTTTTCAGTGACCCCTGTAACAGCATATACTTGATTTGGCACTGTTTGAACTTTCTGATAGACCATTGCTTTCTCTTTGAGTTTCTGCGGCTTGTCCTTTGACAGGCGAGCATATTCAAACAAGTTCTCAGATATGAGTGGTTTTTCATTCTCGGTTTCGCTCTTCATAAATTCAGAGCAATCAACCACATCTTCCACCGAGATTTCGCTCATCTCACTTTCCTGATCAAATTCAGACGTGTTTTCTATATTCATTTTATGTTCTGAAATTAATTTGGCGTTAAATGAGTCAAATGTTTGAATGGTCTCGGACTTAATTATCAACCTATCATTTTCATCTAAAAGATTTTTGAGCATACATTTATGTTCCTTAGAGTCAATAAAGGTCTCTATCTTGTCCAGTCCGATTTTATAAGTGATGGAAGTCTCTTCTGAGGACATTATGGATTCACACTCAGCGATAACCTCATCCTCCTTAAATTCAAGGAAGGGTAAGATCATCTTATGAATTTTTTTCCCTATTTCACAATTTAAGTGCAACTGAGTAATATTCGTATATAAGCGTTTAGCAATCAAGCAAAAAACATTTTGTTGTTTTAAAAACTTTAAATTGTCTCGTTGCAAATAAATAATCTCATCCCTAGCCCTAGTTAACTCCGTCTCCTTCAGCTCAATCCACATCCTTCTTTTTCCTCACTCTTCGAAGACACCTTGCAGAGTTGGTCAATTAGGTTAGAGTTCGCTAAGCGAGTTTGCATGAGACTTCCACTTAAGTTAGAAAATTTAAATTTTAGTTCATTTAATTCTTCTTCATAATTTGTTGCAGGAACTTTAAGTGATTCAAGGATGGATTGTACCTTTTTGATCAGCCGATCACAGTCATTGATCTTCTCACTCACGGGCTTGGCTGCAAAACACTTGTCCTCAGTCAGGTTCGGCTCCTTATGCTCACCTTCGGTTGGTCTTCCAGCAGTAACCATCAAACATTTCCCAGCCGAACTAGTAGCTTCCTCTCTCGCCATGTAAGCTCTTCCATGTGTGGGTTTTCTCACTTCTTCATCCTCAGAATCGGTTGACCAGACTTCAACGCCACCAAACTCATCTTCATCCACATTTTCCTACACAATCAAGGCATTCATTGAACTATTAGTTGCCTTCTTTTTCTTTATTTTTTTCCAACTTTCGCATGTAATACGCCTCATCATCTTCACCGTCCCTTTTCTCAACCATCTTCCTCAACATGCAATCTTTGGCAAAGTGGTTCTTGCCATGACAGTAATTGCAGTCGAATCCAGAGTCTCCTGCAAGCTTGGTTTATTTCTTGTCGTCATCCTTTTGAGAGGTGTTCTTCGTTTCTTCTTTCACCTTCTCAGAGCTGTAACTTCCTTGCCAGTTTCTGTTCTTATTAGCATGGAACTTCTTTCGTTCAAACTTCTTTGGGTTGGTGACCATCATTGCATATTGTTCGCCTGTAAGGTCACACTCAGACATATCTGAATCCTCCTCTTCTTCTGCAACACTTTTGCCTTTTGAGACAAGGGCCAACGATCCTACACCCGAAACTATCTTCGCCTCCTTGGTTACCACGCTTTCATGGGATTTAAGTATACCCACCAGTTTCGCTAGCGAGTATGATTTAAATTGTTCATGAGCTTTCACTGTTGAAACCACTGCCATCCATTCTAGTCTTAAACCATTCATGAAGGTCACCTTCTGCTCAATCAATTTTCTTTCAATACCATGCTTGATCATCTTGCTAAGGAGATGATTAAAGCGATCAAAGGTTTGTATAAGTTTCTCTTCAGGTTTCTGTTCGAAAACTCCAAATTCTGAGAGCAACAAGGTTTGGACCGAGTGTTCTAGATCCTCATTGGTTGAGTACAGTTCTTTTGCAATGCGAATCTGATCATTCTCACGGCTTTCACATTACATAGCACCTTGTCCTTTTCATCTTGTGGCATCTTATCTACGTCCGCCACAAGCTGATTATATTCTTTTTGAGTCTTCACTGTCCTGTTCGTTCCAGAGTGAACAAACGGCCCAATCGTGATAGCTTCCTAGATGAGATAACCATTATCTTCAGATCCAACTACGTAATCTTCAAAGTGATGCGCCCACACTTCATAGTTTTGAGTGTAAAGAATGGGAACCCTTGTAGTGGATCCAATGCAGTTGGAGATGTTGATGGGATTAGTTTGTGAATCGTCGTGAGACATGATGAGCCTTTCCTTGAAACTGCTAGAATCAGACCTGTAAACTTGAGATTAGGGTTTTATCAAACACAAGAGTTACCGTCGATAGGAAGAAGACAGCTTCTTTATATTCGATAAAAGCGGAAACCCTTAAGAATTCTTCAAACAGAAGGAATGTGTATTGATCACATAGTCACCCGCTCTGATACCAATTGTTAGAACAAAGTTCTAGTAGGATCGATTGGTTCTAAGTAGAAAAGCAATAAATTACGTAATAAATAACACGGGAATGGTTTAACTGATGTCGAATGATTAAGCTTTAACAACTCAGAAGAGCTCGATTAAGAACTTCGACTGTAGTGGTGTTTAGGGTTACAAAACAATAATGATAATAATCACGACAGTATCTAAGGCATACATGCATGCACTATATATAGCTTAACCCTAATTAATAATCACGGATGGACAGGCCCAATCCGGATATACAAAATAAAGCCCATGACGCAACATAAAATACCCAACATATATATATATATATATATATAATATATATATATATATATATATATATACACCTGAATATCACTGCTGTATGTAAGTTTTTCAATCATTGTCTTCTGAGCCCATTGGACAAGTAATAACAACATCTCAGGTATGCCTTCACCACTGTTTTGCCCCAAAAAGAAAAGATTGTGTTCAAAGTTCAAAACCCAGTATTCAAATGGTGTATGAACAATAGATCTCATAAAAAAACTACCTGATAGCAGTTGTGGGTACAATACTATAAGTTTCCCCTTTGTCTTTATTCTTGCTGTACAATTCGGTATTCAATCCTTGCTCCTTGAATTATGTAATTATCTGAAGTCATAAAGCACAAATCATGAGAAAGCTAGCAAGAAAAGAAAAATGATGTTCTTGTGGGATTACAAATTTACAATTACCTGAGTGAGCCTATGCTCGAATTCAAGTTGAACATCTTTGGACTGAAGTTTCATTGCTTTCCCAATTGGTGCATTGCGACATGTTTTCCACCCATATAATCTTTCAACCTTATTCAAGGCCACAATGAACTCTGTATTCCTCATTCTCAATAGATTTAGTGATTCAATAGTCTGTGGTTCCAATCCATGCATAATGTCACCAACCAAAATGGCAATATCACATAAACTAGAACCCCGAGACCTTAAATTCTTGAAGGACTCATGGCCAGGTGTATCAATAACTAATAAACCAGGGACATTGAGTATTGAATCAGCTTTCAATTCTTTTGTTCTCTCACGAATGTTCTCAGCTGGAATGTAAGTGGCACCAATTTGTTGGTTGCTCATAGTCACCCCAGCTTGAAAGATTGCACGCACTTGCATCTCCGTTAGCTCCAAATATGAAATTCCAAGCCTGAAATAGTATAACCAAAGATTATACATGTAAACAGGCACAAATTTCAACAAAAATGTTATTTTTCGAGCAACTACACTGTCCTCCCACAATAACAACATGTGAGATGTAACTCATATACGCGGGATTGCATAAGACTATGTTTATTGTTAATCTTGCACAAACATGCACACATGAGAAAATATAGATAAATATTAAAACAACGAAAAGAGAAATGACATGTTGTGAATGCTTTGGTGGCAAACCAATATTTTACCCTTTTTCACATTACAAATGTAATGTTCTCATTCGTTGGTTATAATTTATATTGAAACTTATTTGGTTTTAACTTAAACTTTATATTATTTAGAAAAGAAAAGCATATTACACCAAAATTAGTAATTCTTTTATCTATAAATAGAGAATTATACTTTCATATAATTTCATATATGATACCAAATTTGGTAATTTCCCAGCCGGTTGTGACTCGTATGTCCAGCCAACGACAACGGATTCCTAACGAATCCATAGATTTATATTTTCCTTTTAGTTTGCTTTTAAAAATCGTAATTTAATACTTGTATCATGGCAAAATTTTATTTTGGTTATTCAACTTGTTGTTTGTTTTAATGTATGGTATTTTTTATATCGATTATTATCATTTTAGAATGTGAAGTAGCTTTTTCTAGATTTTTTAATGACATCTTGGACTGGGTTAGGTCACTAAAGAAGCAAAAAAAAGGGAATTAGGTTGGGATTAAAGGAATGTGATGAATAGAGAGCACACCTGCAACCTCTGAAGCCAAGCATTGGGTTCACTTCAGATAAATTCTTGATCCTTGAAGAAATTTGATCCTCAGTCATGCCAGTGTCCTCAGTGAGTTGACTCACAATTTGTTGCAGATCACCTTCGGGTAATAATTCATGGAGTGGAGGATCCAAAAGGCGGATTGTCACTGGAAGTCCTAAAAGATTTGATGTAATCCAAGTATAAAACAAGAGATTTCCACAATGTACTATGAAATGATTATTAGAATACTAAAAGATCATAAATCTACCATCCATTGCTCGAAAAATTCCCTCAAATTCGGATCTATGGTAAGGCAGTATCAGGTCTAGTGCTGCTTTGGGATGAAGTTCTTGAGTATTAGGGATGGTGGCAAACCTGTTGCCACCACTTGGTCTTTGGTAAGGCAGTAACAGGTCTAGTGCTGCTTCTTCTGTAGCATACCTCATAATTGCTGTTCGAGTATCAATTAATTCTTCCTTTACCATTTCTACTGCAATTCTCACTGCGCCTTTACCAATATGTCAACTCATCACAGTTCTCCTAGAGATCATGGTTCCATTAGTTGGAACCCTGTAAGTCCCTGATCTATAGATCCAAATCAGTGATCAATGAAATCCAAACAATCAAACAGAGTGTAGAAGGAGTAGAAGGAGAATAAAGCCAAGCATGCACACATCTATTACGTATAAATGTCAGGTACACCTTGGGAAACACACACACATATGTCACTATTTTTTGACACACTGACACAACCTATTTATACCACATGAAGCAGCACATAAGTGTGCGGCCGCACACACGTGTATGGCCGCACACAAGTGTGCAGCCGCACACACGTGTACGACCACACACAGCGTGTGTGTCCGCAGACACGTGTATGGCCGCACACACCCACTACCAAACCACAACCACCACAACACACTCTAACATCCTACCAAGACCTATACATTAGAATGCCTACCCCAAACCACAAAAGTATAGCCTATCAATCTCCCCCTTGGTTTGCAGCTATCATGAATCAGTCTTTATCAATAATAAGCACATGTTGTAGATGAAGGAGTCTCTGTGGTTTGAGTTGGGTCAGGAAAAAGTACTCCCATCCTTGGATCATTTCTGCGTCTCTTCAAAGGAGGCTGGGAGGTCAGAGTTGTCAGGGAATCACTTGTAATTGGCTCGGATGTAGGAACCACATTATCAAGGGGAGGAGTCCCTGATGATGTGTCCATATGAGTTGAAGAATCAGCCGTCTGAACGGTAGACGGAGGCACAGTCTCTTGAGCATCAGGTTTCTCCCTTATCTCCGGTGTTTGATTGGCACCATCATCGATATCTTTGAAGAAGTCATCGAGGACTTCGTTGGACAACGGGTTCTCATTCACACCACAATTCACCGCTACATCATCTTTGTCGTAACCGGATCCATTCCCTTAAATACCTGATCTAAACCCGGATCCATTCCCTTAAATACCTGATCCAAACCCGGATCCATAACCCGGTGGGCTGGATCCATTTAAAAAATTATAAATCCCAAAACCCAAAACAATTTTTTAAAAATAAAACTCTTGGAGGATTAATTTCAAAATAAAACAAAATAAAATAACATAAAATAAACACATTTTCTAAAAAATTTATCAAACCTAAAAATGAAAGTAAAATAAAATAAAAATAAAACTAAATTTTGAATTTTAACCTAAATTTCACCTCTAACTGAAATTAATAACCTTTTGAGATTGTGGGATCAAAGTTGTTAGACAATCATTTTCCATTTGTCAGTACCTCTCCTTTCATGAATAAATCTGGTCGATCGCCGGTATTGTGATCCACTTAAGCACGAAAAATTGTGACAAATTTTAGGAATGCTATCAATGACAAGACAGATTGATCCTAAGTTACTAGATAAAAATACCTAAGGACCATTTATCTGACGACGACCAAGGATATTGTTGTCCACCTTAGTTGAGCAGCGAGATCTACAGACAATCTAGAATTATTCAATTTTAAGTGTACTAGAACATGTTTCCCGCTTCCTGACATACCCCAATAATCAAGAGCTTCCGAGATACTCTTTACTTTAGGTGAGCAGACTATTATTCATAGAAAGGATAGATTAGAATGCATATGCTGTACACTCAGGCCGGATCTTTCAATCACGCAGAGAGTGAAACATATGACTGACTAGAATGTCAGAGGGATTGAGAAGTAGAAGGTTGCATATGTTGTGTACTAGGTCGGATTGTTAATCACGCAAAGGAGACAATATATGGCTAACAGATAGGAAGAATTGCATAGATAGAAGATGCAGAGAAATAGAGTTGCATATGCTGCAGTCCAGGTTGGATCTTTCGATCACACAGAGGAGGCAACATATGATTAACAGTAGGAGAGAAAGAAAATAATTTCCTACAGACCTACTTTATCGGAATTCCCCAGTCGCCCCGTCAATATCGGAATTGAGGACAAAATCCGTACATCAAGGAAAAGTTAAACCACAGTTCTAGATACGGGTTCTTTAATGTAACTGGTGGATTCTCATGTATATCTCCCTGCTCAACCGATCCAAGCGTCGTATTGTCAGGCTAAATGGAACTATCTAGGTCAGAGTTTATCAAGTCTCTAGATTCCTTAAGTTCATCTGCACATCACTTCACAATAATATTTTTTTTGATTTTTCTGTTTTTCTAATGTTTTTGGATTTTCTGATTTTCTAATTTTTGTTTGGGTTTTGTTTATTTCTCAAAGCGAATCATTTTCAAAGCGAATTTAAACTAACCTAAAATTTTTTGTTTGGGTTTTGTTTATTTCCCAGCACATCAATTCAGCTTTGTTTGGGTTTTGTTTATTTCTCATGGGTGAGAATGAAATTAAAATGCACAAATTTAAACTAACCTAAAAATTAATCCTCAAAGCGAATCATTTTCAAAAAGTTTACCAGCACATCGAATCGAGCTTTGTTAAACGGCTTTGTGAACAAATCCGCCACATTATTAGTAGTGGGAACCTGTTCTAGCCGAATGAGCGAGCGCTCATAACAATCTCTGATAAAATGAACTTTGATGTCGATGTGCTTGGTTTTTGAGTGCTGGACTGGATTTTTAGCAATTTGGATCGCAGCCTCATTGTCACAAAAAATAGGGGTTTCTTGAAAATTCAAACCGTAGTCCAACAGCTGATGTTGGATCCATATGACTTGAGAACAACAGGTAGACGCAGCAACGTATTCTGCTTCTGCTGTTGAGGTCGAGACAGTATGTTGCTTCTTGCACTGCCAGGAGACCAGTCTATCTCCGAGAAATTGACATCCGCCTGAAGTCGATTTCCTGTCAAGTTCGCAGCCGCCATAATTGCTGTCTGCAAAAGCATAAAGATCAAATTATGAATTTCTTGGATACCAAAGACCCAATTTTGGGCTGCCTTTGACATACTCAAAAATCCTTTTAACAGCAATAAGATGAGACAGTTTAGGAGTAGCCTGGTAGCGTGCACATTGACAGACCGCAAACATAACGTCTGGGCGACTTGCAGTCAGATACATCAGCGATCCGATCATCGATCTGTAGTATGTTTGATCTACGGATTCGCCTTCAAGATCAGGAGTCAACAATGGTCTCTCAGCCATGGGCGTCAAAGCGGGTTTGGCGTCTCTGAACCCGAACTTCTCGATCATATCATCCACATATTTGGCTTGATGAATCAGGATTCCGGCTGAAGATTGTTTGACCTGAAGCCCCAAAAACGTGGTCATTTCCCCCAATGAACTCATCTCGAATCGCTTTTTCATGACGTCCTCGAACTCCGTGCATAGCTGAGGACTCGTCGACCCGAAAATGATGTCGTCTACATAGGTTTGAATAAGAATTTGATCTGGACCGACATGCTTGATGAATAGGGTCTGATCAATAGTGCCGCGTGAGTAGCCATGATTGAGTAAGTGCTGTGCTGGGGTATCATACCAGGCCCTAGGAGCTTGATGCAGCCCATATAAAGCCTTGTCTAACTTGTAGACATGGTTGGGAAGTTTTGAGTTAACAAACCCAGGAGGTTGGTCAACATAAATCTCCTCCTTCACCTTGCCGTACAAGAAAGCCGTCTTGACGTCCATTTGGTATACGGTAAAGTTCATGTAGGAAGCATAGGCGAGGAAGATACGAATGGCCTCCAAGCGCGCCACCGGAGCATACTCTTCTGTATAATCAAGACCTTCAATTTTCCTGAACCCACGGACTACCAATCTCGCCTTATTACGGAAAATGACACCCGAATCGTCCTGCTTGTTACGAAATACCCATCTAGTGTCGAGGATTTCTTGCCGTTAGGGAGCTCCACCAACTTCCAAACCCCGAGCTTTTCGAATTGATTGAGCTCGTCATGCATGGCATCCACCCAGCTAGGCTCATTCAAAGCCATTTCGACGTTCTTGGGCTCTATTTGAGAAATGAAACAAGAATAGAGACATGTGTTGACGTCTCCACTCTGGCTTCTCGTTTGAACTCCGTCGCCTAGCTGGCCAATAACGTTCTCTATCGGGTGATCGCGCTGTATGCGAGAGGGGATTTCGTGACTAATGTCATTGAGAGAAACGGGAAGAGTATGAATATTAACAGCCCCTTCATGTGCTGAAGAATCCACGGTAGATGTACCAGCTTCGTTTGGTGGATTTGCTACAAACTCATCAGCGATTTGATCGGGAAAGAGAAGGTCCATCAGATTCTGAGTGACAGCGGAAGCATCTTGGATCATGAACTCTCTTTCGACCAGAGTTAGAGGAGTAGCATCAACATCTGGAGCAGATCGTTGTGTTGAGGACTCATGATAATTAATTGGAACAGTAGACTCCACCGGAGGATCAGTAGCAGAAACCAATGGTGGTCTGTAGACAACCTCTTCATCTTCGTCTTCAATAATAGTCTTCGAGCAAGAGGTAGACCCAGCTTGGTTATTAGACGACACACAAAAAGATTTGAATAGCGATGTGTAGTCAAATAACCAATCTGGACCCACCCTAGCGTCCGTTTCATTCTCTTCAAGCCAGCGAACATCGAAAGACTCCACTATTTGTTTCGTCTTCTTGTTGTATACCTGGTAAGCAGTACGAGCAGCGTAACCGACAAAGTAACAATCATCAGCTTTTGCATTGAATTTTGGGTTGGATTCCAAATGGAGAAGGGTGCAAGGGCAGCCAAATACTCGGAAATGGCTGACAGAAGGCTTGTGTCCATAGAGAATCTCATACGGTGTTTTCATCTGGGCTTTGTTGATCAGGACACGATTTTGAACGTAGCAAGCTGTGTTGATCGCCTCGGCCCAAAAGAAGACTGGAAGTTTAGAATCACAGAGCATCGTCCTTGCTGCGTCTTGTAGCGTTCGATTCCTCCGCTCAGCAACACCATTTTGTTGTGGTGTCCGAACAGAACTATACTGACGCACAATACCCTTGTCAGTGCAAAAATGATCAAGAACAACGTTCTTGAACTCTGTTCCATTATCT